ACTGAACGTCTCTCATTGCTAGGTAATTTATAGCTTTATTTCACTTACTTTCCATGGCAGCCCTTTGTGGGAACAGTCTTTAATATCCATTTCATTGATGGAAAAAGAAGGCTTAGAGAGGATAAGACAGTTTCCCAAGGGTGCAGGACTAGCGAATGGCAGATCCAGAATCTGGACACAAATTTCTTTGTCTACTTTGCTTATTGTTTGGTGCTTTCTTCTGTTTAGGACCTTAGCTGATGGTGAGCCCAAAGGTAATAAGGGTATGCTGTCCCACGTGGTAGCCTTTAGCTGCACATAGGTATTTAAATTTAAACTAATGAAGGTGATATTACATTAGAAATTCAGCTTCACAGTTAACTAGTCACATGTTAGGTGCTGCTACATGTGGGTGGCAGCTGCATTGGACAACACAGATATAGAATATTTCCTTCATCACAGAAAGTCCTATTAAGCAGAGCTGCTCTGGAGTTTCTAATTAACTCTAATCTCAACTAGTTATGTTTAGAAACAAATCTTGTAAGGAACCAGTGATTACCCCTGGAAAATGAGGCTCTCTGTCTTCAGAATTAAGGGAAATAGCAGTGCTGTATAGTGTTCTGTGGCCCTTGCCAATGATAGTTGATTACATTGCCTTCCCTCTCCGTTATTCCAAGGAAAGCTTCATGTCTGGGTCAGAGTTAAGGGGAGGGAGAAAGAAAGCTGAAGAATGAATGGGAGGATGCTGTATTAGCTGCCTTAATGAGAACCATTTTAAATGGGCTTGCTTCGATGCTTCTTAGACATTCTAATGGGCTTTCTCATGGGCTTCCTCAAACTTCACTTCCTCCTTTAAATTACACTATACTATGTGGCATAGCATGTTTATTTTCCATGCCATATATCCTCTTGCAGTGTGCTTTTCCTTAATATTCGTGTGGCATCTTGCCATCCTGACCACATTCTCACCTCTGGTCTGTCTTTCTACATTGTATTGAAAAATAGTGTTTGCCTTCTCTTAAGGTGCAGTGTTAAGGGCATAATCAGTTCACAGATCTCCAGTCTTCCTATGTACAGTCCTGCTTCCTGTCTGTGGTGCCTTATATGTAGCCAGATGTTGGTAATAGTAATCCAAAATATGTACTGACCCAAAGTCAATTTTCTAAGGAAACTATATTTGAATAAAATGTTTATAGGTGGTTTTTTATTTATCAAAATTTATTAGCAATTTCGAAATAAAAAACTTTAAGAACAAAGAAATATACTTTGCTGACATAATAAAAAAGTTTTTTTCTTTTTGTCTTTGTGAGACAGGGTCAGGCTGTGCAGTTCAGTTCAAACTGGCCTGGAGCTCTCTTTGTAGCCCAGGCTGGTCTCAGACTCCTGATGATCCTCTTGCCTCAGCCTCCCCAGTGCTTGGATTACAGGCTTGACAGTGTTTGTAAATTCAGAACCCTTATGGTCTTTCCTTAATGCTTTTATTCTGAATTGAGCTGTTACTCTGGATGAAAGCAAATAGACAATAAATGTATTCAACTGATCTCCCTTTTCACAACTAGATGTCAGTGTTAACATAGCTCATTAAATGTGTTAGGTGTAGTTATAATGAGGTAATTCAGGTACTTAACCTATACAAGGAATAGATCAGAAAATAATGTAAATAAGAGACAGGAAAAACAATTTTACAAAATTATTTTTTCCTATTTCAAAGAGAGTTGATTAATTCTATATTTAATATTTTTGTTTCTGTACTGGGCATTGAACCCAGGCCTTTCACACTAAGCCAAATCCTCATTCCTTGTTAGTTTTGAGATATGGTCACCAAGTCCCTAAGTTTTCCACTATAGATGCAAACTTTGGGTCCTTCTGCCTCAGCCTCCGAGAACATTGGGATTGCAGTATGTTTGTAAATATTGATTTTTCACCCATTTTCCTAACTATGCATGGACAATTATGGATTTGTTTTGTTTATTTAGCTAAGAAAGTCAGGTAGAGTATGAACTTGTACTCTACTGTCTGTTATCAACAAGAAATTATTCCCTACAACTTTCCCAGAAAGAGTAATAAGAAAAAGGAGAATTATTTTTATTTAAATGTAAATTTGCCTTTTAAAATTCATTCCTCCTAAGTGGAAGCATGATGTCTTTTCATATAGGTTCAGTCTGAAAGTATTTTAAAATAATTTGTATTATGTTTATCTATGATGTTACACCTTTTTTAAAAACCTATGCTTCCCATTGATAGATGTGTAATCCAGAATAATAACTGAAATATTATGAATAAAATCCAGGTGAAGTAAAAGATGAAAATACTTAAAGTACATCCTCACGCCAGTACTACCAAAGGATCCTAGGGGATCCCTTTCCCCAGTTTTCTCTCTCTTTGAGACTCACTATTCTTAGACTACTTAAGTGAGAGAGCTTATATAGGTAAAATTGTATACAATTTTGTTCACTTGGACATGTCAAAATACATTTTCAACATATATTTATGCCACTTAAAGATTTTCAGAGACTAGATTTGAACTGCATACCAGGAAATAGCAAGACAGCTTATCTTTGGATCTTGATTTAAATTTGACTGAATTGGTAGGCTTGCTTTTGCCCTTATTATTTATAATTTTTTCTTAGAAATACACTCATTCTGCAAAGTAATTCTGTTTTGAAGGGCAAGTTGAATCAGAGTCAATAATTTCTCAGCTTCCCTAGTTCAAAAGCTCAGACTCTGATATATTTCAAAATCTGAAACTTTGGTCACCAGCATGATACCAGAAGTAGAAAATTCCACAGCTGACCAAAGGCAGATGCACCAGAAATATGGTATAAATTACACTTAGGCTATGTGCATAAAGTATACATGAAATATAAATGTATTTTCAGTTTAGATTTGGGTGCCATTCCCCAACCATCTTATTATGTATGTACAACTTTTAAGAAATTCAAAACATTTAGCCTCAAGCAGTTTGGACATGGGATATTCAACCTGTGTGTATGTATACCCATGGAACTAACTTTGTAGGTCACACGATAGGTCCTAATTTTAGAACACTCTAAAATCCATGCAAACTGCATTTGCTTATTGACTTTTAAAATCCATTCTTTCCTGAGAAAAAGAATGTTCAGTTCATCAGTTTTCAAATCTCCACATTAAATACTCATTTGGCAGTTGCTTTTATCAGTTTTGTTCCCTCCAGGCACAAAACAGAAGAGCATAAAATTAATTATCGATTATGGTATAGACTTAGCACATCACTTTGGGTTTTCATCCAGCCTGGAAAAGATGAAAATTGTATTAACCAGCTCCAAGCAGTCCCTGTTTGCTGCATGTTTAGTGGAATTCCAACAGTACAATGAAGTCTAACTCTGAGCTCTCTTGTAGTGATTAGTTGTGGCTTAGTTTTTAATTATTACAATTTTTTGATTTTGTAAATTAATTCTTGGATACTATTTTTGTTATTTGTTTAGAAGCTTTCTTGATCTGTGCTTCAAGATCCTTAATTATGTGCTCAGGCAAGTATCTAGGTACTGAATTTAAATTTAGTTGGAAGCCACTCCCTCTGTTATTACGTTAGGTCTCAGAGTTTCCAGTGACTCGTGTCTATAACACAGGGACCTGACTTCTCAGGCAGGTCTTTGGGGCTTTCTTCTGGCTTCATCCCTTCTAGGCCTCAGTGTAAAATTGTGAATGTTTCTGAGCGTGTGTGTGAGCCTTTTCCCTCTTGCCCATCTCCTGTGACCCCATTTTATTTCCAAGTTTCTGATGCTCAAGCCATAGCTCCTTATACTGTACCCCATTTAGTGCTTGTGCTAAACTGAGCTAAGCATTACCCAGGCAATGGTTATTATTAAAGAGAAGACTATGTGGATCTCCTATGTAGTATTATATTTTCTCTGGTGACTTTATTAAGTCTCAACTAATTTTATTTTTAAAATTGTCCTGATTTGGACAGTGTCCATACAGTTGTATACATGTTTTGAGAAGGAGAGCAGGAACTGCAAAATATAACAGTAGCTACAGTTTGAGTTCAAATTTTTACTGTCATTTAAAAATGTAGGGCTGGGGAGATAGCTCGGTAGACTAAGCGCCAGCGACAAGCACAAGGACCCTGGATCGTGGGTACCACATACATGCCTTGCTGACCCCTCCCTGGGTGTGTGGACCAGGCTGTGTAGTGAGACCCTGTACCAAATACATTTTTTGAAAATAAATATGTTAGCTGAATCAGAAACTTTTGAAAATGCTTTATCAGCAAGATAGATGGGCAGTAAAAATATCCCTTTGAAATTGCTTTTCTTAGTCTCTTTTTTCTCCTGGTCTGTCAAAATTTAACTTTTTAAGTTTTGTTTATTTTTTTACCATGAATCTTTTACATTTAAAAAACAATTATTTATCTCATTTAAGTTTTTATCTAAATTTTAAGCAGGTGACTTTTGTGGCATGTGAATTGGGTCTCGGTAAAGCTTTTGCTTAAATCAACATACCTAAAAGCATTTGCAGTGTGAAGCAGCTTAGTCTCAGTACTAGAAGAGGAACACATAGTAATTCATTTATGTAAAGTTCCAAGTAATATGGTGACTATACCTCCTCTATTTTTCATTTGTTTTTTAGCCTAGGAAATGTAAGTGTGGCTCTTAATGTGAGAAGTAAGGGAACATAAGAGGTAACAATTAAAGTTTAATTTTTTTTTTTTTTTTTTTGCAGAACCGGGGATTGAACTCAGGCCCTTGCGCTTACCAGGGAAGCACTTATTCCACTGAGCCATCTCCCTGGCGCCTAAAATTCAATCTTATCTCTAACATTGGAATGCTATTAGAGAGATGAATGAAAAGTACTTATTCAAATATGCTGTTTCATGCCTGGTTCTTCCTTGGCTGGGCCTCCACTGACAGTCTGAGACCTGGCTAGATCATTGAGAACATATGGAAATGTACTACCAAGTTCCACTATTTTGACTTTTCTGTGTGGTGAATAAACTGATACTAAGGACTTTTCTTTTTAAAGTGTTCTGTTTATCATTGCAGAAAGCTGTATACCTGCACAGGTGGTGGCCGCCATTGATGTAAACACTGTTGCTAATGAGGTATACAAGTATAATTTTCCTCACACACCATTACTGGCCAAGACAATCGAAGTGAGTAACTATTTTCATATACATGCAACATGGGATTGATTAACTTTTCCAAATACTGATTTATGGTGCCTTAACTAGAAGATAAGTCATATAAATAAAAGTTTAGGAAAAGAAAATTAACATTTTATATTGTTGAATGATAGTATGCTTTTTTAAAAAATTCCAGTTGTAGAGAAAGAATTAATATTTTGAGCTCTGAGAAAAAGGATTGAAATATGAGAATGTGACTTGCAAATGTTCAGTTCTGTGGTTATAATAAGCTTTATTTGATTATTGTTTGGACAATTTTTAAAAAATGTTATTTATTTATTTTTTTGGTGGAACCAGGGATTGAACTCAGGCCCTTGCGCCTGCCAGGAAAGTGCTTATTCTCCTGAGCCATCTCCCTGGCTTAATTCTTTACTTTTAATAGATAGCTAGCAAGCTAGCTAGTAGGCAGGTAGTAAAAATAAAGGAGACAATCACTATTACTTTTAATTTTCTTTAAGAGTTTATTCAGGCTAATCTAATTCGCTTATAATAAACTCAGCAACATTTAACATTGATATACAGTGAGTCATTTTAAAAGCAGCACAAAGCTATGTTTTTCTCTTCTAGTTTCTTGTCATAAAGAACTTTATTCACAAATTTTGTGTGAAGCCATAATTTGCATACAACTAACAATACTCATTTTAAGGGTGCAGTTTGGGTGTTTGCCAATAAATAAACTGCATAACCACTGCTGCAGCCAAAAGGTAGGGCATTTCTAGTATGCCGAATCATTGCCTCGTGCCTCATTTCAGTTAGTACCCAACCCCAAAACCAGGCAATCACTAATTTTCTTTCCTTTATTATGAAGTTCTCCTTTCCTTCATTATAAATTTCACCTTTTTAGTGTAGCATAAAAATAATCATGAAAGTGTAACTCTTTTTTAGTGTAATTGCTTTTATTTAGTATTGATGTTCTTGGAATTCATCTATATTTGTATATTACTGATTTGCTGTATTTTATTGTAGAGTAATATTCCTTACAATAGAACACTGTACACTACAGAATGTGTATCTGTTCACTAGGTGGCTTTGTGTGGGTCTTTGTTTTTATTTCTTATGGATGATAAATACATGGGACAGAATTGTTGGATTATATGGCAGTTTTATTTAAATTTATGATAAGTTATCAAAAGCATGTTTATATTTTATATTCCCACCATGACTGTCGAGAAATTTTACTGCCTTGTCAACACTTGATATTGTCAGTCTTAACCTGTAACCATTCTAGTGAACATGTAGGAGTATTGTGATTTCAATTTGCATTTCCCTGATGACTGACAATATTGACTACCTTTATGTAGACTTGTCAGTCAATCATATTCTAGCTTAAGAAATTACTTGCCCAACTTTTATTAGTTGGGCATTTCTATTATTATTACTTAGTTGTATGAGTTGTTTTCTGTATTAAAATTATTTGGCAAAAATGTATATAACAAATATTTTCTCCAATTCTGTAGCTTTCCTTTGTGTCTATCTGAGTGGTGAAGTTACCCTTTTTCTCATTATATCTAGACCTCAGTGCAGTCTGAGAAATCTTTGCATACTCTGTTTTTTTCTAGAAGTTTTACAGATTTAGCTTTTACATTTAGGTCTATGATCAATGTAGTTCCTTTGCTAAAAGATAGTGTGAGGCATGAGTCATGGTTTATTTTTTTTTTCCAAAGTGAAATAAAGTTGTCTTAGCACTATTTGTAGACTATCCTTTCCCTAGGCAATTTCCTTGACTCTTATTTAAAAAAACCAACAAACAAAACAAAAACAAAAATACCCAAATGTGTGACCTATTCTGAGGCTCTTTCCTCAGTAGTAAAGACAGGATTATTCATGTACCAATAATGAACTATTTTGATTGTTGTAATTTTCTAGGATGTATTGAATTCAAGCAGTGTAATTCTCTGTTGAATTATCTCTACATGGTTTCTGTTGGAAATAAATCAAGTGATTCCTACCCCTGTGTAGGATCTGGGGAGTATTTGGTTTACAGCTTCCCAGTAACTTTCTGGTACTCTGCCCTACCTTTGGCCACTGTGATCTTCCTGCAGAAACTCCAGGCTCTTTCCAGCTCACCTAGATTAGCAGATTCTGTTTGGAGTTCCCTTCCCTTCACTGTTATCTAGGAATTGTTTCCAGGGAGAAAGCTGTGGCAATCATGGTTCAACTTTTTTTTCTAAGTGGGTAATTGGATTGCTTATAGCCTAATATTTGAAAATAATCATTAAATCTAATTTTCTAGGGTCATTTTTCATTGAAGGATAAGTTTTTTAGAGTTTACTTCCTAAAGGGTAGAAACATAGGTGCCATTTTTTAGCATAGAGATACACTTTACATAATAACATTTGGAAGTGTACAGTTCAGTCGTTTTCAGTATTTTTACGAAGTTACGCAATCACCAACTCTAATTCTAGAACACAAAACTCTGAAAGTAATCTTGTGTCCATGAGCAGTCAATCCCTAGTTCTGCTCCCAGAACACTGCCTCATTTCTGTCACTCAGTATCCCTGAAATCATGGCAATGAGGAACCTACTCTTTGACTTTGTGGATCTGACTCTTTGAGGTATGTAATATTAAAAAAACATTTTCAGGCTTTTTTCTTTCTTTTCCTTTTTTAAAAATTAATTTTATTGAGAAATAAATAGCAATGAGACAGTTTCAAAACAGGTTAGCAGAACAGTTTCAATAATTAATACATTGCATATTGTCTTTGTAGTGGTTATTCATAGTACAAGATGCAGACATGACATCTGTCCAAACACTGTTAGTACAAATCTTTCCTCTCACTGAAGAGAAAATAGCTGTATTTCTATCCTAATTATTTTGTATATACAGATACAAAATGGTCCTTCAGGGCCGGGGATATGGCTCAGTGGAATAAGCACTTCCCTGGCAAGTGCAAGGGCCTGAGTTTAATCCCCGGTTCCACCAAAAAAAAAAAAAAAAAAAAAAAATCCTCCATTTATATCCCCTTTTTTGTTTAGTTTTGTCAGAGATGGTTATTCCATTGCCATTGAAATATTGTAGGTGCGTGAATTCAGCAAAATAATCCAATATAGTGCAGTAGTCCGTATTAGTAGTGGGTTATCCATGGGACTGGCAATGTCAGAAGTTGTTGATGAGCCTTTTACAGCTCAACATATTAGTATGGCTTTACTTTTTATACTTTGTTTTTATACTTTTCTGCTAGATAGTTAAGACCAAGATAAAACAAGACCTAAATAACAAGAAATGTAGCTTTTGTATCTGATAAGGTCAGTTAAATCCCCTCAGGATTTACCCTGAAACTCTGTACCATAGTGTGTAGATCCTTAGTCAGTGTCAGCCTTGTGGATGAGTCACGGCCATTACTTGTTCAATTTGCTCTCTGTGAAAGCCTGAGAGAGTGTTTTCTCTCCATGTGACTCTCCTTAGGCACACTCTACATCATCAATCACTTTTCTCTGTGGCCCCATAATCTCCTTGATCAGAAAATTTGGGACATCACTGAGTTACAGGATGTTACAGTGCAGGTTCTCTTATGTCCTGAATCCTCACTGACTTTGAAAGGCTAGGGCCAAAGTGTTGGCTGTCCTTGCAGCCCTTCTTTTTCTCTAATTTTTGGTAGGTAAACTTAAGTTGTTAACCTCCAGAAGAGAAGCTTAATGATATTATTACTTAGGCTTTTTTCATTTAGTGTAGTGTTTTCAAAGTTCATGTTATAACATGCACCAGTACTTAATTTCTTTCTATAAATGAATAACATCTTATTATGTGGGCATACTATATTTATTTATCTGCTAAATTCGTTTTAAGACCCCTTTCATAGTTGCTATAAAAGGGAAACATTCTCCAGCAATATGACTCAGTATCCAAAAGGTACAAGGTAGTATTTTTGTTTCCCGGTACTGGGGATTGAACTCAGGACCTGACACTTGTCAGGCAGGCACTTATGCCACTCATCTATCTCCCAGCTCCCAAGGTAGTGTTTATGTATTGAAGTATACCTATCCTTGATGTTGATGACATAGTTTTTCACATGAACATTATCATAATCATATTATGATTTCATCCTCTCAGTAACTAATAACAATGCATTTCATTAATATGGCAAAACAGAATCAGTCTAGCCTTTTGTTTTAGACATGAGAAAAAATTGTATTCATAGTAGAGGAAAGGGGCAGCGGAGTTGGCTCAGTGGAATAAGTGCTTGCCTGGCAAGCGCAGGAGCCTGAGTTCAGTCCCTGGTTCCACCAAAAAAAAAAAACAATACTATGCAACACATAGTAGAGGAAAGATACGTATAGTAAGTAATCTTGAATTGACTCTAACATACAGATTTATGTCTATTTATGTTCTATTCCTATAATATAGAATATGGTAATAATAATGCTTTATTGAAAATGTTTAAAATCTATGTTCAATTTTAATTTATATATTTAAAAACAGATACAACCAAATGGCCACACTAGCCAAAAGATTCTTCCAACCATACAAAAACAACAATGAATTCTCAGTAAATCACTGAATAACTATTTAAGAAATTGTTACTCTATTTTACCCTAAGATAGACTGTAAGAAAAATATATACATGAGGATAGATTGGAATCCCCATATGTATGCTAATAAAGAATAGAAAGATTTAGAATGACTATTTAGATAATTCTAGTTCATTTGAAAGGTGAATCAGTTTGCTAAAGTGATGTCTGTAAGAAAAAAAAAGTCAGATTCCCTACATTTTTTTATTTTGCTTTCCACAATATAGTCAGCAAATGACTGTATTAATTTATGGTATACAGTGTGATTGTTTATGTATGTATATATTATAAAATGGTAAGGCAAGTTAATTGACATGATTCTTCACATTCTTAGCAATTTTTTAGTTTTAAGAGCATTTAGCAATTTCAAGTATATAATAGTTACTATTAACTATTAATAGCAGTCACCATGTTGTATATTAGATCACCCATATTTATTTCTCTAATCTAATTGAAAAGTTGGCTAATAACTCCCCACCTCTACACCTCTAGCCTGTTTCCACTACTGTCACTTTATTTTCTGCTTCTATGAGTTTGTCTTTTCCAAGTTTCACATATCAATGATATTGTGTGGTATTTGTCTGTGTCTTATTTATTCATGTTGTCTCAAAAGGTAGGATTTTCTATGTGTTTTAATCTCTTGCTTGATATTCCTTATATCCCTGTTTGTATAATAAAAAATGTGAAGTGAAAGGGTGTATTATGTCTGGGGAAAACAGGTGGAACTACGCCAGGGATCATGTTTCAAAAGGGCATAGGTAATGAAGACCTTAGGAATAATTGGAAGCCAGTGGGAAATTACTCTTGTGTAAGCTTCATGTCAGCAGAAATCCCATCTGGGTTGTTCTTTTTGTGATTGAATACCTAGTACAATGCTTGGCATGGTAAAGATGCTCTGAGTGCTGGTGAATTAATCTAAGAATATTTCCTACTGGACGGCATAATATGTCCAAAAAAAGGAGCAATGAAATACCAGGCAAAAGCTCATAAAGAGTAAAAGAGAATGTCAGATTGATACTGAATAAGATAAGTTGCAGGTTAAAAGATACTGGGGAGCCATAGAAAGTTGCTTTGTAATGATAATTGGTGCAATCTTCAAAGAAGATCTACGTGTTGTGAGTGTACATGCATAAAATGACATCAGAGTTCATAGGGCAGGGCATAATAAGAAATTATCTCTCAAGTTTTTTTGAATACCTACTACAGAAAGGAAACCATTGCCTTATGAATATAAATTCAACAATTCTAAATAAAATATGAGCAGATAGATCAGCAGCATATTAAGAAAATAGTATACTTATGACTAAAGTAAAGTTTGATTTGAGAATGCAGTAGGTTGTAACTAGAAATTCTATTAATATTTTTAAACACACTAATAGTTGGAAAGAGCAAAACTATGTCAGAAGATATTTGGCAAGATTCAGGATCATTTTAAGTTTCTCTTAATAAAATTACAAAACATGAGTACTACTCATTTAACTTACTAGCTTTATATATGTTACTGACTTTTAATACAGTGCAATATTATAATTAAGAAGGTGGTGATTCTGGGCTGATCCCTTTAAATTTCTGATGAAGGATATATGCTAAGTGCCTAATGAAAGGACAGGCACATGCCTTACATTTCTCTGCTTGGCATCTAATGTATAAAAAGAAGCAAATTGAGGTTTGAGTTCATCTTTTTACAGTCTTTTGAAGTTTTTTGACTATAACCAGATGCAAAACAATAAACAAATACAGGTATTTGAAAATGAGATTTTCTTCTGTTCTTGTAGAGACAAACACAACAGGGGGATGGTGACTGATGAGTTATTGTCAGTTGCAAAAATAAAAAGCATTGTTGATGGATAGGTGTTGTAGAGCTCCAAGACCCAGGGCAGAATAGTTAATGATGAAATCTTCCCTGTGTGACTGTGGAAAACAGCAGTGTTATGCTGGAGGTATCATGGAGTCAGTAGTGCCTAGGACAGGAAAATCCTCTTCCAGCCTGCGCTGGCTCCTGGGTGGGACGTTGGGGGAAGTCACTCCTTTTCTTACAACCTCCGTTTAGTGCCTGATTTTCTTACGAGATTGCTTTTGGAAGTTAGCTTGACTGGCGTTGATTTGAAAAGGATTTTGTTTTATAAACTGTTAAGATAGTTGATGTAGTTAGCTATTGGTTCACATTTTTGCCTTCTTTCTACTTTTTTTACATATTTTTACCCCAATGTTCATTCCTCAGGGCATTACACTGGAAGAGTTTGACAAATTGTCTTTCAATATGATTTTAATGAGCCCTCCATGTCAGCCATTTACAAGGTATGTAAAGTATTTTTCTGAGAAAGTGCTTTTGAAGAATACTAGCTAGATCTTTATAGTTTTGAAATGTTTCACAATAGATCCTTTCCTCTACTCACAATTATAATTCAGCGTTAACCTTAAAGGAAATGACAATTATGTGTGCATAATAGTTTGATCAACAGTTATATACAGGATGGTACTTTTTATATCTATGTGAGATGCAGCATCAATTTCCAGCCCAAATTACTTTAGTTTGTTTCAACTATTGAGCATTCAGCAATTGCTTTCTAATGTAGATTATTGAGAATGAATTTACATAATAAGTATTCAATTGTAACTTCAATATAAAAGCAAAAGCTTGTCTATAATGCATTTCTGCATTTTTGATTTGTTAAATTTGATATGTACATTTAATAATTCTGACTTCTTATAGCCAAAAATTATAATTTCTTTATTAAAAATCATGTATTTACACATTTTGAAAAGTTATGTCAAGTAAAATCTTAACTAAATTATAAACAGACAAACAAAAACCCTTGACCCATTTTGGCATAGATAAGTTATCAGAGAAGGAGAAGGCTCTGTGTAGAGTAGCTCTCAGCATAATCAAGACCATGGCCTCCTAGGTGCAGTAATTGGGCTGTGTACAATAAGATGCAGCCCCAGCAATGCGAAGTTTCACATCTAGCCCAGTGTCTTTCCTCCCACTACCCTTATTTGTTAGCCCTGCTTACCTAGATTTTTTAATGATGGTATTTAAAATTATTTTATGTAGTGATAATAATGATAAACCTCTAAGTGTCTTATATTCAGCAAATTGGTGGGGTAAGCCTTGCTCTTGTCTTTGTTTTATAGGTGAAAAACCAAGGCATAGGAAGGTTAAATAACTTTCTTGAAAATCTGAGCCAGGATTTATTAATCATTTTATGTATTTCTGTTATGTACTGAAAGAGTACTGAAAATAAAAAGCATAGAGAAAAAGAATGGTTAGCTGCTTTCCAGGAGAGGGGAATTCTTTCAGAGCTGATATCTGAACTCTGTCTGAGAGAGAAATTGAATTTCTGTATAACTTATGTGTAAACACAATATAAATTGTGTGTTGATGTGCATTTTAAGAGCACTCAGTTGTAATACTTAGTTCTTTGTCTTTGGTTCATGTAC